CTATCGCTCGCAGAATGCCAGCGTGCCTATCATGTATCAGGCACACATTTGGCCTCATACCAACAACTTTTGTTTTAACCAATTTCAGGAACCAGTACCAGCTGTCGGTATTCTCACTCTCAACAAAAGCAAATGCCAAGGGCAATACCTGATTGTTCCCATCTACCCCTATTGCTGTTAGTATCTGGCCCCGATACTTTCCTGTCAAGAATGTCCCATCAATGCAGAGAACAGGACGACAGTTCACGAATACCATCTTGCATGCATGTAGAGCTAAGAACGCCCTTTGCAGCACACTCTTGCTAGGATGTTCAATTGAGGGGAATTTCTTCAATTCGTAAGAGCTCCCAGGGTTTCTTTCCTCGATAACACCAAGCAGGCGTGGCAAATTGTCATACGAGGCTTCGTAAGTTCCAAATCTCATCTCTATTATTTTCTGTTTGGCCCTCCAGGCCTTGGCATAGCTAATAGTATACTTGTATGTCTCTTCGATGTGTCGGATTATTGACCTTGGTTCATATGTGAGATTATCGATGACATGCGCATACATCTCAGATGCAACAAATGCACAAGTAATGTTCCTGTGGTATTTCTGAACACCAGGTAGAAAACATGTATGCTTGGTAACGACTGACACTGTCCAATAATCCTTCCATTTCCCCTTATACGCGTGCACTCTCCAGGGACAACCATCTTTTTCCTTAACACACCGAACTTCATATTGCGACCAGTTCGACTTGGCAACCCTAAACTCTCTATGAAGTGACACTGCAAAATGTTTTACCGCCTCCTTCATATCTTCTGCTCTACTATAAATCGCTCCCTGAATAACCTCATTTTCTTTGTACTCCCATCTCACACTATCCTCTTCAGAGACAATCAGCCCAGAAAAATCCTCACTAGCCCATTCTGCTGGATTAATATCCGTCTCATCATCTGACGAATCACCTTCCTCTACACGCTCGTTGTCAGAATCCTCCCTCTCCATTTCATCCACAATGGCACCAACAGTCTCCCCCTCGTCGGCCACTCCACCTGGTTGAATGCCCACTGGAGCTACTACGCCCCCGTCCTCTCGTGCGTTGACCTCCTCCACAGAAGTCTCGTTTACTTCAGCACTTGGTCCCTCGCCATCATCCATGTTCATCTGCACACCTGGATCCTTCGGGTGAACAAACGGAACCAAAGCTAGAGGCCACCCGCGTTGCAATGCATTTTCCAAATACCATCTCCACACTCGAGAGTTTTGAACTGGCATTAGTTCCCAATAAAAACCCTCAGTTGCCCGACTTACTATAACATTCATTGTTATGTCACTTGTCTGTGGATCAACTCTCAAGCCCCTCATTAACCATCCTTTTATAGAAGGTACACTCCTCTCAGCCGGTCTATCAATTCCCCTTTCTGATACAATAAAATCTGACAGATCTACCCCAGTTGGCCCGTAACGGAATATTTGTTTGTTCGACATATCTGTCAACGAAATAACTAGATCATATTACTCTTTCATGCAATAAACATCTACAACGTAATATCTTCTTGTGTAAGCCAATGCAACGGTAATGTATTGATTCCAAACTAGCATATCTACGTAGTTACCGATATCTACAATACGCACTTCTAGATTAGTACAACTAAAACCCTAAAAATATAATGCATTTATTCAAACAAATTTTTAAAGAATACACACTATTTAACTCAATAGTCACATATAGGATCTATGAATATTACCTGAAATCGGCGTCTGAATCCGGCAGGGCTTCGCCCCTTCTTCTCTTCTCCTCCCCTCTCTTCTTTTTTTTTTCACTGGAATTGAGGAGAGAAGAATGAGGGCTGGGGGCTGGGCAGCAGGCCTTTTATAGGCAGCGAGGCCTGCCGCCCGGCCAGAGGGCGGCAAGGGGCCGCCTGCAAAATAGCCGGCCCCGACTGGCTTTTTTGCGTTCGGGCCCCTTGCCGCCCCACCAGAGGGCGGCAAGGGTTTTCCTGCAAAAAACCCTCCCTCCGTCACCGCCCGTTCCTCCCCCGTTTGCCACGTCAGCTTACCGCCCCAGAGGTGGGCGGCAGGGTCTATTTTTGTAATTTTTTTGGCCGATAGATTATTTCTGTAAATATTAAAAAAAATCTAAAACCGAAAAAAACTCCCTTCTTTACTTTGGGCATCATGGCAGGGTAGGGTAGTAGATAGAGAGACTATTGTTGTTAATGACTACTTCAAGATGAGGAAGGAAGAAGTCGATAGCAATTGCCAGCTTGCTAGCGGCACACACAAACATATGCACTGGTATGATACTCCCTCCGTTTTAAAATGTTTGACACTGTTGACTTTTTAGCACATATTTGACCGTTCTTCTTATTAAAAAAATTTATGAAATATGTAAAATTATATGTGTACATGAAAGTATATTTACCAATGAATCAAATGATATGAAAAGAATAAATAATTACTTAAATTTTTTGAATAAGACGAATTGTCAAACACGTACTAAAAAGTAAACGGTGTCAAACATTTTGAAACGGATGGAGTATATTGCGCGTGCCTCGTGGGTAGGATCAGAAGGAAGCAAGGATTCTGGGGCTTTGCTAATCGAGCATCCTTTCTTCTCCGTCGTCTGATCTGCTCTTCGACAAATCACGGTCGTCCGTGTGGCCATCCTGTGCTCACCAGGCGCCGTCCGATCCCGACCGTCAATCGGCCTTGGTCGATCCTAGCCGTTCGTCCCTGCCAATCCTCCCGGTGGACCGGGTTCACGATGGACAACCATCTTCCAGTTGTTGATGCTTGGGACCCACTTGTCACCATCGTCACCGGCTTCGCCACGGCTGATGCAATAAGTTTCATTTATTGCATCATAAATCGATATATCCTTGTCTCAGCACTTTTGAAATTAATAACTAATTCATGTAAACTCTAAAATAGATTATTCAACTTGCAAGATTCATTTAAATTCAAGATCTACATGTTTGTTTATTTTTATATACGGTTTTATTTCGCTTTTATTAGAGTTTTTTCTCGTTTTGCGTGCCAACGTGTTAGAATCCACAATCTCAGAAGACCGGAAAAGGGTTCAAGAGATTAATCGAAGATGCCAGACAAAGTGACATATTTCTCCTTGAACAGGTTGAACCTACTTTGTAAAAATGTTTTGTCGTTTACAAATAAAATGCATGCTCTGTTAATTACTCGATGTTGGCTAGGGCTGCTTGCCCTTAGCTCAATCAACTCGTGAGCAGCTCGCAAAACATCTCAAGTTGACTCGATATTTTAAACCCATTGAAACATCAGCTCAACTCGTTTAGAAAACTCAATGAACTGAGCTGAACCCAAGCCACGAGCTTTTCGTCTAGGTCCGTATACACTACACAATTCCTACTACACAATTCCTGAGTTCATGTTGGTAGTAACTAAATTATACATGAATTATACATGCTATCCCCCTGCACCATCACATATTAGTTTCTTTGCGTATATATATCTGACTAGAAAACTGTCAGTGCGGCAACGGGTAAATATGTTTTTTATGGTACAATAACTATTAAGAGTCGAGTAACAAATTAAAACATTGGGATCGCTATACATTATAATTGAAAACGTTAACGAAATATTTTCTTGGTTTTGGGCAAAAAGCCAATTTCTTCGTTCCTTTTAACCCAGCCCAGTTCGTTACCTCCTCCGCTCAGCCTGCCTCCCTTCGGCCCAACCTACAAGTGGAGCCATAGGCCCAGCTAGCACAACCAAACTGGTGTCTTTGATAGTGTCGTACCCATATGATTCCGGAACCGATCCTCCCCACCAAATCTGTCTGGATATTTGTTGATCTCTCAAAATTGGTTGAGAGCTTCTTAGCCACTCAATCTCCTCTTTCCATTTTTTCCAAAATCGGAACAATCCGCAAAATTGGAGATAAAAACAGCCTAGAAGCTCGTCGACCGCCTATCATTGGCGACTGTTAATTGGAGATTAAATTCGGTGAATTAAGGCCAAACTGAAGGGAAATCATGGGACAAATGATGAGGGAGGAGCGGGGAATCGACTTAAGACAGATCAACATGGTGGTGGCGGTAGGGTTTGGCACGCGCAGTGGCTGGAGGCACCCTGTGTGCTAGCGGATCGAATCAGATGAGGACGACGTTCGGAAAAACAGAAACATTGCTATTTTTTATTAGGTATAGATATAGATAGGTATGATCTATTAGCTTAACTATCGTAGATAAATAATAAAAGTCTTATAAAATCAAGCTCGTTAGAAGCTCGAGCTTAGCCCGGTAAAGCTCACGAGCTTTAGCTCGGTAAAGTTCGTGTTGAGCTCAAGCCGAGCTCAAGTCGAGCCTGCCACCCATCAAGCTTGAGTGACTTGTGAGCCTCGCATGTTTTTCATTACAGCCCTAGCGATTCACTATGGCCTAGTTTAGTTCCCAACTTTTTCTTCAAACTTCCAACTTTTCCATCACATCAAAACTTTCCTACTCACACAAACTTCCAACTTTTCCATCACATCATTTCAATTTCAATCAAACTTCTAATTTTGGTATGAACTAAACACACCCTAGGTCAGCCCTCAAAATAAAAAATATCAATAGCAACTTCGCTTATACACTATGTACCGTGCCACCAACTAACTAGATTACACATAGAAAAACCTACTCCCTCCATATATAACAGGGAAATGCTACATAATTATTCTGACTATTCGATCAGAATGATACGTTTGATATCTGGTAGGTATCAACTAATACACCGTCTGAACAAGATGATACCTCTAAGGTATTGTCTGATATTTGGTATGTATTGGCTGATATTAAGGTATCAGGTGATATTTTAGAGGTATCATTTAATCTTAATGGGATACCACTACGTAGCATTCCTCCGCATAATATAGAGGCAGTAAAAAAAAAGAAAAGAAAAACTCATGAGTTGGAAGGGTCCCATCTCATCGTGCCGGTGCTCCATACCAATTTTCTCGAATCTACAAATACACAGGAGACGACCACCAGCCGCGTCACGGCCAAGCACACCGAAATTCCAACGAGAACCCCACGCATTATTCCGCGACGCGACCACGGGAAGACACGGGACACGGAAGAGGGGAGAGAGCGAGAGCGAGATAGAGTTCGAGTTCTACGCCCAAAACCCTAGCAAGCTCCCCCGCCCCGCCCCGCGTCTCCAGTACCTTCCAGAAGCTTCCAACCCCCCACCCCCCACCACCAGGTGAGTGGATCTCCCATTTCCCCCCCTCTCCCCGCGAGCTCGCCCCGGGCGGGGGATCCTAGTCTTGACCCGTGTGCGTGTGTGATTCATTCCGCCGCAGGAAGAGCGTGCTTGGATCGCGCGGGGGAGGCAACGCTGGCGGCGCGCAGGTGATGGCGGATCCGCCTGGCGGTGGGGGATCTAGCGCTTGCGTCTGTGAGCGGAGGGAGGCGGAGGCGGTGGTGGTGGTGGTGGTGCCGGAGCTGGGGAGAAGAGGAGGAGAGCAGCGGAGGGGAGGATGCTGAGCGTGGTGCGGGTGCACCTGCCCTCGGAGATCCCGATCGTGGGCTGCGAGATCACGCCCTACGTGCTGCTGCGGCTGCCCACCGGCGTCGTCTCCACCGACGATGTCCCGGAGGCCGCCCCTGCGGATGGCTACTTCATGCGGTACAGATGGTGAGTAACTCCTCGAGACTCTGAAAATCTTAGTTGAATCAGATGAGAGCTGTGGATTGTGTAGTTCTGCTTGCTTGATTGCTAAATGTTGCGCACTAAACTTATTGCTGAATGTTGCGCACTAAACTTTGACCAAGCAAGGGGAATTTTCGTAGCTTTGGTCAGGCAGATTTCTATGTGCTTATATAGTTGTTAAAGTTTGGGGAATGCTCATTTATTGGCTCAACTCCTTCATAAATGAAGCATAGTTGGATGTATTCAGATTAAATGGTCTAATAAGCTTATCGTTTGTTTTGTCTGAAAAATGGAGCCTTAGAGATTGTAAAATTTAGATGCGGAAACATCTATACTGCTGAGTTGGAAACATAGTTTGATGCATATGAATTGAACCGTTTGGTACATGTTTTTCAAATTGCATTATGACATATCAGGAAGCACAGTTTAGCTAATATTAATTGCTATCATGAGTGATTCATTGAAAAGTGCCATTAATTGGGTGGTTTCTGATGATAAAACAAGTGTTATTAGAACTATGGGACAGTAGCAAGTATTTTTGATATGGGGTATGTTATGATGGCTTGAGAAATGTTGTCGTGCAAGAATGTTAGTAGTATCCATCTTCGATGGAATAGGTATATAACACACTTTATGGTGTTCTGTTGGATCATCCTATAGTTCCTATTGAAAGGCCCTGTTCTATGAGTTCTATGAGTTTCTCCTCATTGTCTGTTGAGTTGTTGTAGAATTGGATCCATTACGCTGATAATAAACATGATTTTATATGCTCAAGATGTGCAAATAGCACTGATGTACACGATGCTTATAGCTAGTTTCTGTGAGCTGATAATGCAAAACACTAGCTCTTTAGGTGGCCTTTGTTGGTTTCAACACTTCCAGTTCCAATGGGATTTGGTTATAATGTTTTGATTTACTCCTTGAAGGTACCGTATACAAAGTGATCGAAAAGTCGCAATCTGCAGTGTACATCCAATGGAACAAGCAACAATTCAGTGCCTTGGTTGCGTCAAGTCAAAAATACCTGTTGCTAAGAGCTACCATTGTTCTGCTAAGTGCTTCTCTGATGCATGGCAGCACCATAGGGTCTTGCATGAGCGAGCTAGTAGTGCATTAAACGAAAATGGAGCTGAAGAAGAGGAGCTATTTGGCAGATTTGGTAGCACTGGTTCTGGGGTTCTTAGTACTACTGGTTCTGGATCGATGTCAAATCTTGGACAGAGTCCTGGTTTGAATAATGGCCCCGTGCCTTTATATCCTTCAGGCACTGATAAGAACTCGGGTGAAACTTGGTATGAAGTGGGGCGCACACGGACATATACACCAACTGCTGATGATATTGGACATGTTCTAAGATTTGAATGCGTGTCTGTGGATGCTGAAAAAAAGGTACCTGTTGGACCTCCAACTTCAATTATGACATCCCGTGTGATTCCAGCACCAACTCCAACTCCACGTCGCCTTATCCAAGTGAATGGAGATGTTTTGAGTCACTTAGATTTGGACAGCCAAACATCTTTCGGGACATTCTCAGTGCTGTCCTACAATATTCTTGCTGATGCATATGCTACAAGTGACGCGTATAGCTACTGCCCAACATGGGCACTTTCTTGGACATACAGAAGACAGAACTTGATGCGTGAGATTATTGGTTATCATGCTGATATCATCTGTCTTCAGGAGGTATCATATATATCAACTAAATTTCCCTATTAACTTTTTTGGTGATTTGTTCTATTATTTCCCCCACACAGTTACAGTTAATTGAATGCTATGCTAGATTATGGTGGTTGGGCTGCTGTTTCAACTGATGCAAATTTTCCACACTTACCTAGAGTTTTCTGAAGCTTCTTGTCATATTATGCTCTAATAATACTTGATTGGTCTCATCATTTTGAACTGAATTCATATAATAAAAATGCTAAGAAACAAAACTGCCCTAAAATAGTATTGTAGGTTGACTTCTTTGTGAAATTGAATCCATAAGTAATCTACCTTCATAAAATTAAGTTGAATCCTACTGTTTTCAGGTGCAACTGAACCACTTCGAAGATTTTTTTTCACCCGAGCTTGATAAACATGGATATCAGGCACTTTACAAGAAAAGGACAACAGAGGTATATTTGACTGCATCTGGTTCTATTATAATACGCATTTATACGCTTCAATTTCTTATTTGATTCTGCTTCATGTTTTTAAAGGTATATACTGGAGCTCCTCATGCCATCGATGGCTGTGCCACCTTTTTCCGTAGAGACAAATTTTCACACGTTAAAAAATATGAGGTACGGCCACTGCTGATTTGAGAGTGGTATGCTAATCTGCAGGCTGCAGCTATCTAATATTTCTTGTACCTGGTTGTTCAGGTTGAGTTCAATAAGGCTGCACAATCATTGACAGACGCAATTATTCCCTCTACCCAAAGAAGAGTTGCTTTGAGTCGATTGATTAAGGTATGATAAATTAATAGAAGAGGATATTGCATGCTAATTTATTCCATTGCTGACTTTTCATTATTGCTGGTTCTGTTTTCTTTGAAGGATAATGTTGCACTGATTGCGGTTTTAGAAGCTAAATTCGGCAACCATGGAACTGACAATCCTGGCAAAAGGCAGCTTCTTTGTGTGGTATGTCAACAACTCTGCTTCAGAGAAGCACTTAGATGCTAATTGTTAGCAGCATTCTGAAGGGATCAGTTAAATGTTTTCTTTGGACAACGGATTTGGACTCATTCAGGCCTCGTTTGGATGTGTCGAAATCCGAAAGCCCAGTCCATATATGCATGTATGGGATTTCAGTTCACTTTTCATGGCTTACATGTGGATGGACTGGGATTGAGGCCCATCCAAAAGATATGCCTTGGGAGAACTATGCAAGGTTTACATGAAATTAAGATGCATCCACATCTCTGAATCTTGATGCATGGCTTTAGTATTACATGTTTGTCAGGGTGACCTATCTTTAATTGACTTTTTTTTTGGTGGGGGAATGGGGGTTGGGGGTTTTATACAATTCTTCATACCGATAAACAGTCTTGACTTGATGCATTATGGCGTCATGGGGGTCGCAGGTCTCATCACTTTTTCAACTGTTCTCACTCTGCAGGCAAATACACACGTAAATGTCCATCAAGACCTCAAAGATGTGAAGCTGTGGGAGGTCTGTGCCATCACATTTTCTTTATGCTAGTTTTGTGTAACATCTTAGAATTTCAGATTGACACTGTATGGCTTTTGCAGGTTCAAACTCTCCTAAAAGGGTTGGAAAAAATAGCTGTTAGTGCGGACATTCCAATGTTGGTCTGTGGGGATTTCAATTCAGTCCCTGGGAGGTGTGTATAAATATGCTATCACTGTAGTATTTATTTGGTAAAATTATTTTGAAACCATGGACTTCTAAGTACTCAATTATGCTTTCAGTTCTCCACATGGACTTCTTGCTATGGGCAAAGTTGATCAATTGCATCCAGATCTGGCCATAGATCCCCTTGGAATTTTACGCCCTGCGAGCAAGTTAACCCATCAGCTTCCTCTGGTACAGTAAAATATATTGGTCTGGTGATCCCTTTTATCCCATGATCAAAGAACTCTTACCAAGGGTCTTGCTTGTTTGTAGGTGAGTGCATATTCTTCATTTGCAAGAATGGTCGGTGTCGGCTATGATTTGGAGCACCAGCGGAGGAGGATGGACCCTGCAACAAATGAACCACTTTTCACAAACTGCACACGAGATTTCACTGGAACGGTTGATTACATATTTTACACAGGTCAGTTCCTGGACCAGTTTATATCTGTATGCTTTGATATTATAATTTTGTAGCTTCAGTAAACATCTTTTAAGGATTACACAGCTAGTGTCATGAAACATTTAATGATGGCCCACACTTGCTTTCGTATTTCAGCGGATTCATTGTCAGTGGAGTCGTTGTTGGAACTTTTGGATGAGGAAAGTTTAAGAAAAGACACGGCCCTTCCTTCTCCTGAATGGTCTTCGGATCATATAGCACTCTTGGCAGAATTCCGGTGCAAGCCTAGAATCAGACGGTGACACCTTAGGTATGTCATAAGGGCATAACCACATTTTAATTATACTGTAGGACTGCGGTGCTCTGATTTTGCTAGTGCAAACAGCACATGGCTCAAGTAAGATTTGGTGCCTGCTTCGCTGTCAAAGTGCCACATGTGCAAATACCTTTAAATTCCAGTGGTTTACATTTGTAACAATTAAAGCTAAGAAAATTGTTTTTTGCACAATAACTCATCTGAAAGTACGCAGAAATCGTCATTCTAGTCATGTTTGTTGTTGTCCATCACCTCATTTCATCTCGGTGAAAAGTAACATAACATGTAGTGGATCTTGTCTATTATGCGCAACACACGACACCCTTTCTTCATTTGATGTTCCAAGCTGACTGACTTTCTTCAGGTCGCGAATAGATGGTTAACTTCAGCACCCATGCGGTGGAACATTCTTCCATGGTGTGTGGGACTTGAGGAGGGATGGACGAAAGCGGATCCTCGGGGAAGGACCACCAGCACCAGCAGGCTTAGGGTAGTGGCCTCATGAAAGGGAGGCTTGTAATGTTGATTACCTCTTACATTTCCAACTCATGATGTTTTTAAGCGGCCCCATTGTAATATCACTTTCTATAGAAGGAAAGATCTCCTGAGAGAGAGACATTTTTATGACAGATTCAGATGCCATCATGGCTAGGCCATTTCAAATTTTCAATCCCTTCTCTTCTAGTACTATACTGCAGTTTTTTTACCCAACCCTGATCGTGCAGTGTGTACTTGTTGGAACTTGTCAAACTTTTATGGCAAATTTTAGTTGTTGCAGGGTTGACAAATGGGGAGATGAATGGTTGGTGCTTTGGTGGGCACCTGATGTCTTGGCCATTTATACAGGTACTGTGGTTTTGCTGTTTGTACGTAGTATAGATGGTAGTTAGCCTTGGTGTCCATGTGCCACCGTGTCATGAGTTGGCTGGAACATGTTACATGTATTTGGCTTATTCTAATTTGGCTTGTCTGATCTGATCGCCACCAAACGCTCAACATTTAGGCGATGAAAACAGCGAGAGATCGCTGGAGATAACATAACCCCGTGGTGTTAATGACCATCGGGTATCAAGCTCACCAATCTTGATTTGGTCATGGACATTACTAATCGTACTCTTGGAAGTTTCTCTCTTCGTTGGTTGGTCAGGTCTATTGGGACCCACTTGCAGCGAGAGGAGTGGTGGGCCCACCCCTCGTGGCGCAGGTCGATGCTGGACTGGGAGTGACGGGCGCGAATTTTTACTTGTTTGACCCCGCAACCGCGTGATCTTCCTCCGGTGTTTTGTCGCTGACACCTGGGCCCCACCAGGGACAACATGACCGCTGCCGTGCGTGGCCGCCGGGGACCCACACCTGCGGACGTGTGCAGGTGTCCGCTAGGTCCGTCAACGGCCGTCGGGCAACGGCAAAGGATGCTTCTATTCTGGAGTTATTGCTGCTGTTTGTTTGGACGGTTTCATGATAGTCTTAAAGAAAGCTCGTTCCACTAAGAGCACCCGTAATGGTAAAGTAAGGTGCTCTCTATAAGACATGTACATCTCAGCAATAGACTAGATTAATAGTAAACCACCTCAATAGTATGTCTACATAGATATCTATAGCTCTCTAATGCATTGTCTCGTTTTTCTCTATAGACTATCTCCAGGTTAGTAGATAGTTTTGCTCTCTCTCTTCATTTAATCTCTTCCAAGTAGAAAAATATGCTGACATGGATCTCTTGTAGAGAGTCTATAGATAACTATTGTGGGTGCCCTAATGGCATCTCGGAGATGAGAAATTTTAAGACACATGATCGAGTATCTATGTCAAGGGGTGTCTAATACTAGTTATTATTACAGGATCAAGTCACTAGAGATTGTTTGTAGTGGCTATATTGGCTATGTATGATGTATAATATAAAGCATAACAAATAAAAACTTTGCCACATTTAGTAGTTTGAAAATATAATATGTACGCAATGGCCAAAAATTGATATAAGTATGATTATATTATAGTTGTGGTGGTTAACAGGGCATTTTTCTAACATATTACGTGGTAGTTATGTATAGGCAACTAGGCATCACAAGCTTTCATCACTACAGATAACAAGTTCTACGAATCCTATTTGATGATAATAGGAGGTTTTATGTTTCTTAAACACATATTAACAAATGACATCAAGATCTATTTCCTTTGAAACAATGCCATGTATTCAATTGAACAACATATACAATAAAAGTTAGAGAAAAACTCACAATAAGGATTTAGTGATAAACATTGCAATGAAAGAAAAATGAAAAATATGGTGGATGATAGATGATATGGCTCTAGCATTTACACTCACTCTCTCGTTTTAGTAAGGATAAAATGGTAACCTCTTCCTACATACTACTATCTCTCTACTCAATCTTACCTAATATCACAGTCTCATGGTGCGTCGCGAACTTGATCCAACAACAGGATATTACTATGGTAAGCCAATTGCTCCATCTAAGGTGCGTCTCCTTGATTGAATAATGGACATTTGCTCTACCTTTATATGAAGTCTATCAAACTAGTTGTACTTTTCAATATGATGATAAGTATAGAGTAATGCTTAATCCAGATACGGGCTCATGTTTTAGTTTAAGATCGTCTCCTTAACATTATCTTTATTCTATAATTATAGGCCTATTGTTTGAACAACAAGCACAATGTACTTGTCAAAGTCGAAAATAGCATAGGTTCCAAGATCAAGTGGCAATAATTACAATAGATACCACAATGTGTTATATAAGGGGGGGGGGAATGTGACATACTGTCAGACAATGGTAATTATTATAGACACCACAATGTGTTATATGTAAGGAAAAAATAATAAGGGGAGGTTCACCTAAAAAACCATTGATCCTTAACCTCCCATGACATCTCCCTGCAACAAACAATATATAAATAATGCAATTAATTTGCATGCAGCATCCAATAGCCATATCACGTAGTCTCATTCAATACTTCTTGCTAGATAATATGACCATATTTTTTATTTTTACCCAAATTTCTATTAATTTTAGTTATCCTGATCAGATGGCATTGATACATAGTACATTAAGAAAAATCAATTTAAAACTGGATATGACATATTCTAGTATAATGAATCTAGACGGATGTATGTCCAAATTCGTTGTAAGAGCAAGGATAATAATAGGCTATAAGCAAGTTATATGCTTATGTGGAAGAGAGAGATAAAAAAAAGTGGATAGTGTTGGCTCTCATGCAAGAGCCAGCTCCACACAAGCTCCAAGAAATATGCATTAAATTCATAGAGTGAGAAAGAGAGAGAATGGAGAAAATAAGGTTAACCTTATAGCTGACCTATTATACAAGTTAGCTCTAACATAGACATAGTAAGCAGTGAGCTCTACTATTAAATCTACTCTAATAGGATGTGTCACATCTAATACTAGGTTGGTTTTATATGAGACGAAGGAGCAGGACAGTAGGTTATTCTCCCAAACAGGAAAAAGCAGAAAACAAAAAGTCATTCGTTCATATCATCATACGCTGTACTGTACTCCCTCCGGGTTGATAATACTTGTCGTTTTAGACAAGGACACGGTCTTCAAAAAATAACTTTGACCATTATTTTCTATTATAATATGTAGAAAAGTGTTAACAAATATATGATCTTATTAAAGTATTTTTTAAGACCAATCTATACATGTAGTCACCATATTTGAAATACAAATATTTTAAAAATAATTCATAATTAAAGATTGTAAAGTTTGACCTCACCCTTGTTCAAAACGACGAGTATTATCAGCCCGGAGGGATTACGTTTCAAACTTGACAAAAAACGCCGTTATCGAAGCCTCCGTGAAATTCCAATCAAATTCAGGGTGCAAACCACAAATGCCCCCCATTTGGACCATTTGCCTCTCTTCCTCCTCTCCATCTCCACGAGAGGAGAGAAGAAGAAAAGGAGCCAAGCAAAAAAAAAAAAAAAAGCGAGCACGCGAACGCCGCGTGATCCAAATCGAATCGAATCCTCCTCCGCCGCCGACGAGGGCACCCGCCGCCCGCCGGTGAGCCCGCGCGAGCCCGGCCGGATTCGATTCGGCCGCCGCCCGGTTGATCCGCCCCCCCGAGGCGGCGGGTGGTGGTTCCGAGATCTCCCGGCGAGCCGGAGGCTCCTCCGCGTCGGATTTGGCGCCGCGGGGGAGGAGGATGGGCTCGCGGATAAAGGAGATGGTGCGGGTCGCCACCGCGCGGCTCGGCGGGGAGCCGTCGCCGCGTGGGGGCGCGGGGAACTCCGCGTTCGGCCGCGGGGAGTCGTCGAGGACGGCGCGGCTCGGCGGCGGAGGGGCCAGCCTGAGGCGGCAGCCGCAGCCGCAGGCGCCGTCCGTGCGGACCATCTGCTGCAACGACCGCGAGGCCAACGCGCCCGTCGGGTACAAGGTGAGCGCGCCCCCTCCTGGCGGTTTGATCGATCTGTTGAGAGTTTCGTTTGGAGGAGGAGGAGGGGGCTGGTCTAGGTCTAGATCTCGTTGCTTTTCGCGCGTTCCTTGCTAATATGTGGTTGTGCTGGAGATAGGTGTGTCAATGAGCTGACACAGAAGTTTTTTTTTTTTTTAAAAAAAATTTCCCTGATGCTACATGGTTTTGCTTAGTTTTTCTGGACTGGATTTTGTTAGTCATTTGGGTTGCATTAATGGAGAACTATGAGGTCATTGGGCAGATTTGAGCTTATCTAGCTTTTGGAATTAGTAATTTAGGTAGCTATTGCTAAAAATGAGATGTAGACACCGCTCGGTTTCTAGGCTTGAGGAATTATAGTACAAGAGCTGAACGATGCTATTCATTCTTGCCCCAATATTCACCAGATGCATGCTGTGTCGGCTACTGAACCTGGATCAGTCCGACCACAACTAGCTCACCCTCACCACTTGATAGCACCAAGCTAAATTAAATTTAGTTTTTACTTGTAAGACAACCTTATGTTTCAAATAACAAGATTGTGGATCATGCCCTGATATTGTGAGTGCATTGATGCCAAAATGCCTTAATGGAAGGGTGTTTCAGGTGTTTCATGGTCATACCGGAAAGTTCTCAATTTATTCTCTTTCATTTGGTTGAATCCTATCGGTCAAAATGTTCCCTTTTCCTCCCTGCGAAACTGCTTTGACTATGTTGTACTCCCTCCAGGTTGAAAACAATTGTGTTTATGGACAAGACTGATGTCCAACTTTAAAAACTGACTATGAATAACTTCTATAAAATATTTTCTTTAGAAACATGGAAACCATATGTATAGATTGATCTTAAAATATATTTCAATAAAATCATATATTTGTTGATATTTCTACATATATTGTAATAGAAAGTAGTGATCAAAGTTTGTTTTTTGGAGACCGTGTCCTTGCCCAAAACGACAATTATTTTCAACCTGGAGGGAGTAAATTGGTGTATTCATGAATTTTCTTTTCACCACAGCTGTATTTGCCCCCTTGTTTCATGTGTTGTCTCTAAGGATTAAAATGCATCAACACCATTGCTATATTGCTAACGTGGTTGTAGTTTGTTTGACCATTTATGCAGTTCTCTTTTTAATTGATTTTGCAGTTTCCCGCATTTTGGGTATCAAACTGTCAATTATGCAAATGCTAATATCAGGACGCTACATAATTTTGGTTGTTTTGCTGTTGAGGAATTACT